GAGGCTGAGTGAGGCTGGAATTCAAGCTGGGCAATGAGACCCAGAGTCCACGCTCTTAATCACTGTCAGCATCCACTCACTCATTCATTCACTCATTCACTCATTCATTCATTTCCAGGGCCAACCTATGGATCTGACCCTGTGGAAGGGTTGGGGTCCAGTCCCCCTAGAGGAGCCCCCTCCTCCTCTGGGGAGAGTTTTGGTGTCCAGGGGTCGGGACTAAAATAAATTCTGACTTCTCTGTTTCCTCCACCTGCTCCTGGGTGTGTCCAGGGTCTGAAATCTCATTTCTGCTCCCTGAAGCATTCCCCACCCTCCCTCTTCCTCGCGGTGTGGGCTCCACCCAGCAGGCTGAGTCAGAATCTCCGCGCCAGTTGGGTAGGAAAAGGGGAGAGGGCTGGGGAGGAGGCTCAGGCATGGGCATTAAAAAAACAAACAAACAAACAAACAAAAAACAAAAAAGTCTCCCTAAGAGAGTCTAATATGCATGCAGGGCTGGGAGCCCTGGAGGCTTCTGGGTAAGCAAAGGTGGCCAGTGGGATGGGGAAGCTATCGGACTAAGCCTCTCTCTGCTTCACTCCACGGGCCCTGCACCCCACTCCCCACATGCACCTGACCCCGAAACTGCCCACGACCAAGGCGAGCCTCCTCTTCTCGAGTGCTGGGACCCTGCAGGGCTGAGGGTCTCATTCTTGGGTCCCTTCCCCTGTGGCCAAAACACATGTCAGCGGGAGCAGCAGAGCCTGAGGGTGGAGAGCTGAAGGGGGTGGGGGTGGCTGGGAGGTGTGAGACCCAGTTCCTGTCTCTGCCTTCTCAGCCCCCAAGTGGAGGCTGCTGCCCCCCCCCGCCCACAGCCTCAGAGTCATCCCCCTTCCAGGGCAGTCCTCTTCCAGGGCAGGCAGGAGGTGCAGCGCCAGCCTGTTCACCCCAATGGGGCAGCTGGGCAGCCCCAGGCTGACCTCAGAGCCGGTGGTCCACTTGGGCGTCTGGGCACCCCCTGGCTCTCATTGGCTGCAAATACGCCCGAGACACAACGAAGCCTGAGCCCTGAGCTCCCGCATCCCTCCTGGGTGGCCTGGTCTGAGGGCTCGGCACTGTCCTGCTTCCTTCTCCATCATTCCCACCTCTTCATTCACTCCTCCGCCTCCACAGCCTGTCTCTGAAGCCCCCAGACCCCCTTCCCAGGGGGTGGAGCCTTCCCCTTGTCCCCAGTCTGTTGGTTGAAGGGTCTGGAAGGATCAGCCGGGCCCAGGGTGGAGGTCTGGCTCAGGGGCTGCACTGCTGGGTCATGGAATGGTGGTCTGGACTACTGTGGTGGTCTGGGCTCCAATAAAAGTCTGGAGACTGGATTCAAATTCTGGGCACTGGAATGAAGCTCTGGTTCCAGGATTCTGAGCCCCAGGTGGAGGTCTGGGTCCTGAAACGGAAGTCTGGGCACTGGGCAGGGGTCTGGATCCAGGTGGAGGTCTGGGTCAGGGGCTGGACCTCTGGGTCATGGAATGGTGGTCCGGACTACTGTGGTGTTTTCTGGACCCGAATACAGGACTGGATACAGGGTTTGAGGTCTGGGCCCCAGCATGAAGTTCTGTGACCCGGATGTAGTTCTGAGCCCCGAATGGAGGTGTGGGTCCTGGGACTGAGTTCTGGGCACTGGACGGAGTTATGGGTCCCGGGTGGAGGTCTGGGCCAGGGGCTGGACCTCTGGCTTATGGAATGGGGGTCTGGACTGCTTGGTGTGGTCACGAACCCAATAAAGGACTGGATACTGGGTTCGAGGTCTGGGCCCCGGCATGAAGGTCTGGGACCCGGATTTAGGTCTGAGCCCTGGATGAGCCTCTTCCCTTCCTGACTTGCAGATGGGAAAGGTTACCTGCCCCAGAAAGGCGGTAGTTCAGGCAATTACCAGCAGGTGACGACGGTGCTGCTCATCACTGGCCAACTTGGACTTCCTGCGTTCCCAGAAGAGCAGCTTCTTTCTACGGTGCCGGCTCCGCCTAGTTCCCCAGGTGCCAGAACCAGGGAATACACGTCAGGCCTGAGGTAGCCCTTGGAAACACACATCCCCCCGGCTTCCGGAGGTGTCTGTGGGAAGACCCCTGAAGACAGGTGAGCTGTGAGGTCACGATGGTTGTAGGGGTGGGGGT